AAATTAAAAACCAATTATGCAAGGCTTGCTAAAAAATGCCAGTGGGCTGCCTTTACGTTTCAAGTCACTAAAAACACAAGCAAGCTTAGGCCAATGTTTACCCCGCATGCCAGCTGGTTTGGGGCAACATTTTATGCTCAGGCTAAAAACATGGATGACTATCTTAAGTCACTTTTAGGAACATACTCTGAGGACATCACCTGTGTCTGAGAGTGAACTGCTTTCTGAGGGCCCTGATGGCTCACAGATTCCAATTCACCTTTCACACAAAGGTGTGAAATGTTCTGCAGGGCTCTCAAGAAGGTAGGAATTCACCAATGGGAAATCCACCAATAGCTACATTTCCTCTCCTGCTCTAAAAATGAGGAGAAATGGAAAGGGCAGTCTGTGATGGTGTGCACATGCGGATTCCTCCAGGTTAAACCCACAGAAGGCAACTGAGAAGGATCGGAGGGCTGGAGGAGAGGTATAAATGGCTTAGAGTCATGTTTCAAAAGGCTCTAAGTAATCTCTGAGCCTACTAGTGACGAGATTCCCTAAACTCTACCCTCAGAGATTCTGATTCCAGTGGCCTGGGGTAGGATCTGGAAATCTATACAGAAGTTTCCCCAAGCCGTGTGGGTGATCAGCCGAGTTTGGGAATGGCTGATTTGATTTTATTTGTGTTCTCCCCCGCCTCCTTTTTTTCCCCTTTTTCTTCTACCTACAGTCATTTAAATCCAGAAATGGAAAAGCCACAGAACAAGAACAAGGTAAGAACTGGGACACACAACAATGGAGGAAGAGAAAAATTTCAGAGACACAGCTAATAATGCCCAGACCAGTAAGCAGGTATTAATACACGATCCATGTGAGGGACTGAACAGTCTGGTAGAAATGAAATGGAATGTAAGATATAGTCCCCGCCCTCGGGACCTAAACCCAGAAGAGACTCAAACCCAGGCAGTGTGAAGTGGGCCAGGTGCAAAGTAACTGGGAGTGGTGGGGTCTGTGGCAAAGTAAAGACCTGGTAGCTCTGCAGCCAGGTGCTCCTCAGCTCCTGCTTCTCACTGCCTTTCTTTTTAAAAGAAACCAGAAAGTCCACACTTCCTAGCTTTCAAATATGGCAACTTGGGCTGGGGATGTGGCTCAAGCGGTAGCGCGCTCGCCAGGCATGCGTGCGGCCCGGGTTCGATCCTCAGCACCACATACAAAGATGTTGTGTCCGCCAATAACTAAAAGAAATAAATGTTTAAAAAATTCTCTCTCTTTAAAAAAAAAAAAAAACAAATATGGCAACTCATTCAGAAATAGAAGGAAGGAAGGAAGGAAGGAAAGGACAGAAGGACTGGATGCTGTGAGGACCACACAAGACTCACCTGCAGGCTGATGACAGACCTTGGAATTACACTTTACAACTTCTTTCCTGAAAGGTCATCTGGACCAGCATCCTTTGAAACCCTAAGCCTCCCCCAGGGCACTGCAGAGTGGCCTGGGGAGAGGGAGCCTGTCCACCAGGTGAGTCTGTGCCTAAGTGTGCAAGTGTGTGGCTAAGTGTGCAAGGGTGGCCACAGCAGCCCACCGCAGCAGATGACCTGGATCTCCAGGTCCAGCTTTCAGGGGCTATAGAACAAACAGGGAAGGAAGGAAAGGTCTGGAAACAGCCAGAGAGCAAAGGTGTCTTGAAAAGGAATATTGGAAAAGAAAGAAAAGAGAGGTCAGAAAGGAGCAACGGCTTCAAAAGTCCCAGAGCCAAGGACGCAGTGTCCCCAGAGTCCCTGGCCAACCCAACATCGGAGCAAGCGTCTTGCCTCTGTTGATGGGGATTGAACTTTTCTTTGCAGGACTGACCACTGCCTGGTCTTCTCTCCTGCTGGGTAATCTGCTCCTTGGTAGCTGCCCATCTTACCACACCAAGCTCCAGGAGGAGAGATTCTGTCTCCTTTGCTCCTGGTTCAGGTTCCAGGGCCTGGCACACACTAGGTGCTTAGCAGATGGACCATAGGCAAGCAGGTGATCCAAAACAGTTTAATATTATATTTCACAGAAAATAATCAGCATAAAGCACTGTATAGTTCACAAACCTGCTGCTTAACTTAATTCTTCCAATTTTCTTTTCCTGAACTCCTTCATGCACTTGGACATGGCCCAGGAGATGGCCTCTGCGAGGCAGATAGCTCAAGAGCCTGCTGTGTCACCACTGCCTGCGCGTGGCCTGGCCTGAGCTCCCTTGGGGTCTGGGAGACCACAAGGCTTCAGAACTGCAGGGCTCAGTACCAACTCGGCTCTGCCGTCAAAATGATCAAGTGTTCTGGGGCCAGGTTCATCTGGCCTCCTCAGCCAGAGAGATCTCTGATTAGAAGCCTGGAAAGGACTCAGGGGACATAGGAGGCCATAGCAAAAGGTTAAAGCTTGGGTCTAAAGTCAGACTGCTGGGTTCACTTCCCGGCAAGTGACCTTGGGCCTCTCTTGGCCTTGTCAACCTCATCTGTGAGGGGAACACTACAACAGCACAGGGTCAGTGTGTGAGATGAATGAGGTCCTTCACGGAGTGCTTAGTACATGCCTGGTGCTTGGCTCAGGGACAGGGACATACTGCTGTGGTGACAGCAACATCGTCATCATCAGCCAGGCCCCAGCACTGTCACTGCCCAGCAGCGTGACACGGAACCTCCTCCCTAGACCTCAAATTCCTTCTCTCTAATACAGGGATAACCTGGTTACCCGGATTGGGTGAGGAATAAATGAGATCCTGCCTGTTAAGTCTTAGCACAGGACCTGGGACGTACTAAATGTTCAGTTGATGTGAGCTAGTACCTCATTATCATTGGAGAAACTTTGACTAGTCTAAAACGCCAATGTGAAAATCCACTAAGGGCCGTTTGCCACATGCAAAATCGATCTTTGGAAGGAAGCTTCATCAGCTGCAAATTTCTCCCCCATCCCCTTTGGGTTTTAGCTGCTCCAAGAATGAGCTGCCCCCACCCCTGGGGTCTGACCTGGGAGGACCTGGAGGTGGATTCCCAGGGAGGTGGAGTCTCGGGGCTCCATCTGCCGCCTCGCCCCCGCGCTGCAGTCTGACAGCGAAGGAGCCAGTGAGAGGACATGCAAATATGCCCTAAAAACGGCTTGTTATTTTCACAGCCTGGAAGGTACACGTCTGTGGGTGCCTGGGAGGACAGCGCGTCACTATCAGGTACAGGGCCTATGCCACCAGCTTGGGGGTGGCTGTGAAATGTAAAAATACCCAACCCAAATAAAGACCTTTTCCAAAAAAAAAGGAAGGTCCTCCAGAGCCTTTGGGAAGGAGAGAGGTGGAGACTCAGCCCCTGCCCAAGGCCTCATCAACCCCACTGGTGGCCGCAGAGCCCCAGTGACAATGCTCAGCTATGGCTCTCGACAGCAATTACACTGAGGGATGACGAAGAAACAGCGGCTTTCAAGTTAGGGCTTGAGAGGGACTAGCAGAGGGCGGAAAGAAAAGGGTCCTCCTTAAGGAAAACAGACCACTAAAGAAGCCAGGAAGTGACCTGGGAGCTGACCAAGTGCATCCAGAAGGAAACATCATGGTCCGCTCTCTCTGAAGCCACAGTCCTTAGTAGGCACCCAGGGTGGACCTAGTCCAGGTGTCTGGAGCACAGAAGGCCACGGCACGGACCAGTCAGTGGAGGTCAAGGAAAGCAGCCGGTAGCAACAAACACAAAGCCAACCGTGTGAGCAAGACCAAGGTCATGGGGTGAGGTTGAGGGTGGGTAACTAGAGAGAGGAAAAATGAGGTGGCCTTCGCTCTCCATTCCATTTAGCCATTGCCATGCCCCATAGGGCGATGTGGGGCCAGATCTTCCTATTTTTTTTTAATTGAAATTTTAAGTGAAATGTTGGTTCAAGGCGCTTTGAAAGTGCAACACAGGCCAAACAAACACATCTGAGAGCCAGATCCAGCCCTCAAGGGCCAGGCTGCCACCAGGGTCCAAGCCCCCTAAAGCCCTTCTTTTCAATTTTTAAGGTATTCACGAGGAAAGACCGCTGAACCCTAACCAGCAAACTAATGCATCCCAACCCATGCCCAGTCTCTACCCTGGAGGCTGGATCCTCCTTCCCAGCTCACCCTCACCTGTGAACCCTCCCTCCAGGTGAGCTCAGCCCACAGCCTGCCCTCAGCCCTTCTCCACCTCTCCCCACTGGGCTGACCTGATGGTAACTACTCTCTCAGGCCGCTGAAGAAATGGGCTGCTGGGGTGCTCGCCAGGCCGGGCCTTTGGACAAATCCCCAGCCATAGATAAGTGGCCAGGGCATGCATTGCACTGATACTCAGTCATGTTGGGGACTTCTGCTTCTCACCAGTCCCCGGGGATAAGCTGCTCTTCTGCAAGTAAAGCTAGTGAAAGCTGCAGGTGCAGGAGACCTTGGGGGGGGAGGGGCTGAGTCCTTTGCCAACTCCATCTCAGGCAGATGATGCTTGGGACTGAGGCCATGCCCGGCTCTGGCAGCTGCTTGCAGAGGGAGATCACATCAGCCTTCTTTCAAGAAGGCTGGCACACTAAGGCCCAAAGGGGTGGAGGCAATGATGTTGCAAATGATAACTTTTAAAGCCAGCTCAATATCACTGTCCCCTTGTATAGCTTTTAAAACATGTGCACATTTCCATCATCTCTGCTGGTCGTCCCAACCCCCCAGAGAGATTGCCTAGATATTATTCATTATCATTATCATCACGATTCTCTAGCCCCTGGAAGAAGCAGAGACAGATTAAACCTCCCGTCCTAGCCGGGTGCCTCTCAAACTTTAATGTGTCCATGAATCCCAGGGGGAGCTTGTTAAAATGCAGACTCTGACTCAGCAGGTCTGTAGTGAGGCCAGGATTCCCCATCTAACAAGCCTGGGGCAGCACAGATGCTACCGGTCCTCACACTCCAAACAGCAAGGCCAAGGTTCCCCTGCGCAATAGGGACCAGACCCAGGACGCGAAGCCAAGTCTGTGGCGCTTGAGCTGTACCTGGGGTTAATGAGGCTTGCTCACCTCACTTTTTACCGGTTGGGGCCTCTTGCCCAGTTTCACCTCCAGGAAGTGCAAGGGCGCGATCATGGCCCCGATGTTGCGGATGTCGGCGTACTTCAGCTCCTCTGCAGTCAAAGCCGAGCTGGGGAGTCCGGTGAGGGGGCCGAGCCCTGGCAGAGAGCCTGCGGTCACAGAAGGGTCGGGGATCTGCCCAGGCATCATAGCAGGAGGAGCGGCAGGCTGGCCTGGAGTGGGCAGAAGAAGCAGGACAGGGCAGTCAGGTTGAGCAGCAGTCCCTCACCTGGCCAGGACCGGTCCTTTCTCCCATCTGTGTTCTCCAGCATCCCTCCCCTTCAGGCACTCTTCTGCCCACCAATCCTTTCTATTATCAAGGAAAACTCAGTCAATTAACTCACACTGAGGTCACCATGCCCGGCACTGCCAGGAGTGTTTGCCCTCTTGTTTGGTTTTTAAGGCGACGCGTAACGCAATTACCGGTAACATCTATTCGGCATGCGCTCCATGCCAGGTCCCAATTTTTCCGTCTGCCTTGGCAGGCTGGGCCAGAGCCCCTTGTATGGAGGAAGAAGGCGAAACTCCGAGAGAAAAGTTGCTCAGGTTTGCACACGGTGCAAACGGGCGGGGCTGGGATTTACATGGCAAGGGACGCCTCGGAAGAGACTGTGTTCACGGTGGAATCTCAAGCGCCTTCGCACCTGTTCAAGAGGGAGCTATTTTTGGCCTGGCATCGTGCCTCCCCTCACATCACACAGCCTCCTCTGCATACTTATTAAGACACCCTGAATCTGAAATGAGGCAGATCCAAGTTAGAGGTGAGCGTGTCTGATGTCTGTGAGGAAGATCCGAGGCAGAGGAGACGGAGTGGGTCAGCATGTGCTCTCCCAGTGGAACCCAGTACCCGAGATCGCCTCCAAGGTCTCCCCATTCCTGGAACCAACACACCGCCCAGCCCCCCCCCCCCCCCCCCAGGACTCAAGAGGTTTAGGAGGGAAGACAGCGCAGGCATGAAGGAAGGCCATAGATGAGACAGGTCAACACCAGAGACCTGATTCTTCCTTCCTTATACTGAGGAAGCTCAGGGGTAAGGGACAGGCACTTGGAGGCACAGGTGGCACTGAAGTAAGCTCATCTGCCAATAAAGCCAGGCGGGTCCAGCCCCTGAGCACATTCCCACCCCTGCCTCCACCCATCCGTCTGGATCCTGAAAGCTGCCCCAAGCTGCCAGGCACTGCAAACGTGGAGGTCAGATGCCCACACTTCAGAGCAGCCTTGTAAGGGGCATCCATTCCCAAAAAGGAACTCATTTCTCTCTTTTCCCCCCTGTCTGCACAGGGCCATAAAATTAAAACTTCCTCCACTGTCACTGAAATCCCCAGGAGAAATCTCCGGCCTGTCTGTCCATTCTCACCTCTGGTATTTCATGGAGAAGGATGCATTTGGCAAGACAGGGGAGCTATGGTGCCCCCAGGCCACGCTGTATTGGGCTGTGTCTCACTCACACACAAGTGGCCCTGGAGGGTGACCCACCACCATCTGCCCCCGTTCAGGTTCTCAGATGGAGAACCTGAGAGAGGGGCATTATCAGGGAGACTGTCCTGGCTATGGTGCAAACCACACTGTCCATCTCATGTCATTCTCAAGGGAGAAATCTGGTCCCCATCCAAGTCCTGTCTCTTTCTCTCTCTCTCTCTCTTTTTTTTTTTTTTTTGGTACCAGGGATTGAACTCAAGGGCACTCCACATCTCCAGCCCCATTTTGTATTTTATTTAGAGACAGGGACTCACTGAGTTGCTTAGCACCTCGCTGTTGCTGAGGCTGGCTTTGAACTCACAATCCTCCCGTCTCAGCCTCACAAGCCACTGGGATTACAAGCATGAGCCAGTGCACCAGCCTTTTTTTAAAAAAAATAGGTTCTAAGCTCTGAGGGGAAAAGCATGTGAGTGATTTGCAACTTCAAACCACAAAGACTTCAAGGGACATCACTTTGTTTAAAGAAAGGACCACGTGAGCTGGGCGTGGTGGCGCATGCCTTCATCCCAGCCGCTGGAGAGGCTGAGGCAGGAGAATCACAAGGTTGAGGCCAGCCTTAAAAAAAATCCTGTTTCAAAATAAAATAAAAAAGCTGAGGATAGTGCTCAGTGGTAGAGTGCCCCTGGGCTCAATCCCCAGAACTACAAAGAGAAAAGAAGAAAAGACAGGACAGTGGAACTGCCACCGCATCCTTGCACACACACAGCCTGCCACTCAACCCTCTGCACAGGGTTCCTGGCCTTGCACTCACTGGTATTTGGTGCCCTGACACTTTCATGTGCTCCACCATCTCTATGTCACACACCTGGCCCCTTGGCCCTTCCTTTCCATTCCACATCCTTTCTGTCCCTCATCAGCACCTAGTGTCCCCTGGGTCACCTCAGAAAAGGACCTGAGACTCATTCACACTGAGTGACAGTCTCAGGAGCTGGTGGAGGCCCTATGCTCATCTAAACCACATCCTCATTTTGCACATGAGGAAGCTGAAGCTCAAGTTGAATGACTTGCCCAAGGTCACACAGCCAGAGAAGGGCAGAACCAAGGCTGGACTTGAGGTCCCTGGACTTTGGGACCCTGCCCTTTTTTTCCCCTCATGGGGTTTGAGCTGTGGGATGCCTTCAGCTGAAGGAAGTACGTTCCAACGGATGGACTTTCACAGAGAAGCCCTGAATGGGAGGGTCAATCTCTTGCCCAGAGGACCCTCTACTCTACCTGCCACCAGATCCAGGTTTGGGAAGTTCCCTTAATAACCCCACAGCAGCCCGAGTGGGAGCCCAGAGGGAAACAGCCCCTGCGGCCTCCCACTCAGGGATGTTCAATGAACTCTGATCCCCCCTCGTCCCGAGGTGGGCTTAGGGCAGTGAGAGAGCCACCCCTCCACCCTCGAGAGTGGGCCAGGAAAAGGGCCAGGGCCAGGACCCGCCCCTACGTGGCAAGACCTTGCCGGGGCCCAGCCATGCCACCACCTGCCAGGCAGAGGGATTACTTGGGGGGCAGGCAGCCGTCAGGACTGGTTGTTGCTTGGGTGACCCCAGAGTCTGACATCCTTTCTGGCACAGCAAGGGGGAGGAAGAAGTATTTGAAGGAACAAATGGATCAATGAATGAATGAAACAGCAAACGAACGATACCAAATTCATAGCCCAGCACACTTCAGCAGGTGGGGTGGGGATGGTTCTGGAAGCTTCGAAGCTCATCATCAGGCCACGATTTCACCTCCAGGTTATTCACTCCCACAGTAGACCCCGAGAGAAGCACTGCAGAGACGTCCCTGTTTCCCGCCTCAGCCCCCTGAGAGATGGAAGCCAGACCCCTCTCTGTTCCAGGAGCGACAGGCTCTGTTTGGAGCTGCTGTTTATTTTCGTACAGATGGTATAAATGCTCACAAATGCTCCCAAGACATAATGAATTCTCTGCTACTGGGGGGAACCCCCCCAGAGGGGTAGCCACCCCCTGGGAGTAGTGGCCCCATAAATTCTTGCCATTCCTGCTCTAGTGAACCCATCCCCCGTACCAGGCTGGCCCCGAGGACCAGGACCACACTTTCCTTTGAAGCCAAAACCTCTCAGTCTTTCCCAACCCTGCAAGGAAGCCCCTCGGCGCTCAGCTCTAACCACAGAACGCTCACCGCATGCCATTCCTAGGAGACACCACAGCCCCGACCTGCACCACAGCGAGAAGTCACTCAGCTGTCTCTGGCAGAGGGGGACGAGGTGGAGGTGGGGGGCTGAGGTGGAGGGGCTGAGCCGCCGCCTTTCTAATGGGATCCTCATTAACTGCCCAGGGCTGGCTGTGATCTGAGGCTGAAAGGCAGCTTTGGTGATTTGAAAAGTAAAACAATTTGATGTGATTTAGGGATCTAGAAACAGGCGGGGTGTGGGGGGCAGGAAACCAATAGCAGCGAGGGAGAACTTACCCACTTGAAGGGAGACACAGGAAAGATGACAAGAGGTGAAATCATCTCCCAGACTGGTGGTTCCATACGGAAACAATTTAGTGGGAAAAGGAGAACTACGCACTAAACACTTGAGGAGAGGAACCCAGAGTTTTCCCCTCGGGAGCTCAGGAGGCTCGAAAGGCAGATAAACACCAGCCCTGACTCCTTGAGTGACTGGGATGCAGGAATAGAAGGCGAGCTCTGTACATTGGCAAAACACCAAAATTGAGAAACGAGGCTCGCGCCTCAACATATAGGCCTTGAATCCAAAGAGACTTTGGCAATTTGGGACACTGACCAGGAATGAGTTGGCAACTAGCCACTGAAGGAAAGCTGGGGAATGCCCAAATCCAACATGAGCCCTGACAAACCAGCCATGAATAAGAAAGCATTCAGGAGGTCACAGTGGACCCTAGGCTGTTGCTGAGCCTAAGACTCTGGCTGATTGGATCCCTAAAATCCAGCTTGAATAAAACAGGGGCCAGATGGACCCCAAGGGGAAAAAAAATAACTTGAAGATCTGGTATCTGTATCTCTCTACCCAACTTCCTTGGGGATTTGTGGGGACACAGTTGGATGCTGCATTGCAGGAACAGAAAAAAAAAAGAGTCATGAAGCAGTTCAAGTCCAAAAATATCTACTGGGAGACTAACATGAAAAATCACTCTGATGAAAAGGATAAAGGGTAGAGGTAACTTACCCAGGTTTCCTTCTCTTGTTTACTGTATGTAAAGGGATAAAAATATCTTAAGTCTTTTTTCAGGGGGAAGGTCTGTGATAACAGGTTGGCTTTGAGGGTCCCACTTACAGAGGGCTCTCTTTATTAAAAGTGCCCAACCAGCATCTTCATCCGGAATAACATAAACAGGTTAAAGAGAGAGAGAAGGAGAGATTAAGAGAAACCTGGGATCTGTGTTGTTGTCAACTTTCTGTCGGGGGAAACGAAGGTTTCAGAGAGGCTATAAGACCCCCTGGTCTCTTTGGGAAGGTCGGTCCCCCTCCAGGTAAGCAGGCCAGGATGGCAGCAGGGACGGCTGGTCACAGGCTCAAGGCTTGATGCTGAGAGCAAGTGGAGGTGAGTGGGGGGGGGGGGGGGATGGGGGGGGGGGGCCCGGAGGAAGAGCGGGGCGGGGCGTCAAAAACAAGGATCCTGCCTCTGAGAACCAGCAAGAGGAGGACTAGGCGGTCTTGGGAGCTGGATCCTGGAAAGATTCCCCAAGGGAATCGTGTGTGACGATCTGCCTCCTGGACTCTGAATGATGTGGGTCAACCAACCTCCAAAATTCAAGGAGGTCCAGGAGATGAGGAGCAAAGGGATGGTGAATGCTCCAAGATTGAGAACAAGGGCAAGCAACAAAAGGCCCTCTTTGGAAGTCTGTCCCAAACTCTGAGGCGAGAGAGTCAGGGCAGGTGAGAAGGGGAGCTTGAGAGTCAGATGGTCCAAGTGTGAATTCTCAATCTACCCCTCACTAGCTGTATGATCTAGGGCAAGTTACCTAACCTCTCTGTTCCTTACTTTCCACAACTGTAAAGTCGTTTGCCCTGTAAGGCTACTGAGAAGATTAAATTAGTCAATAACTGGAACAGCACCTGCACATGATAAGCTGAAATCATTGTGGCCACAGGGCCTTCCTTCCTGCAGGGGCACTAGAGCTAGATGACCCCCTAAGGTACCTTCTGGGTTGTTGTCATTAACAATGGTCTCCCTTTCCTACCGCCATGAAGATGATTCTCTCCAGAATATTCTATGCTCTCCCACTTTCCAGCCCCAAACTCCAAGGTGGCAGGGCCATCCTGCATCCAGAGGGCACCTGGTCATGGCTGGCTACGAAGGCACAGAAATGAGGCCCAGCTCCTGTACTCTGCCTCAGTGTCTCCACCCTGCAGACCACAACGCAGCTGCACAGATCCCTG